AACAAGAAGAAGTACTTTAAAAGGATTATCTCATATTGTTGTTGTTATGTACCGTCAAGTCGCTTGCAACTCAAGCAACCCTATGTACAACAGCCCTAAACTCTGCTGTCCTCTGCCAATCTCACTGTCTCCGATACACCCATCCTGATTACCCCAGTTATTGAATCAATCTGCCTCATAGAGGGCCTTCCCCTCCTGCGCTGTCCCTCTACCCTCCCAAGCATGATGTCCCTCTCCAAGGACTGGTTCCTCCTTACGACATGTCCAAGTATGTTAGATAGAGCCTCAGAATCCTTGCCTCCATATGTTGTTGTTAAGTGCCGTCTAGTCACAGGCGACTCATAGTGACTCTATGAAGGAGAGTCCTCAATGCTTGGGTGCCTTTCATCCTCTCTCCAGGTTCATAGGGTTTCCGGAGGCAAGTTATTACGGAAGTGGATGCCGCTCCTGCTTCCAAGCTTGTTTTGATCGGGGAGCTCAACCCCACTCTCTGTCCGCATTGGGTAACCAACCATTAACTCATTTGACACATCAGTGTCACAGTGTTCAGCCTCACAGCAACCACAAGTGACCATGGTACGGTAACTTGTACACCAGGGCTATACGACCTAGAGGAATGTCTGAACAAAACAATGAAAGATAGGCCCGAGGGCCGCAGATTAAAAGGCACCCACCTTTGGCTTGGTAGCATCACTTTTTGTCCACTGGGCCAGCTGACCTTTCTCTTTATGTTGATATTATTGTTGTTAAGTGTCGTCGAGTCGCAGGCGACTCATAGCGATCCTGTGAAGGAGAGTCCTCTATGCTTGGGTGCTTTTCATCCTCTCTCCAGGTTCATAGGGTTTCCGGTGCCTCCATATAATCCTCCAAAAATCTATTTTCTGGCTAATACTTATACAAAGATAGGGAGCATGAAGTTTGTTGCTGGTAGGAGTCAGCAAGTCTACTATGACTCATAGTGACTCTATAAATGACAGATTAGAACTTCACCCTCTCTTGCACCATCCTCACAATCTTTTGCTTCCTCAGGCCATTGTTGTAGTCGCTGTGTCAGTCCATGTCATTGAAGGTCTCTGTCGCTTTCACTGATGCTCAGCCTTTACCAGCATTGTCTTTGTGTCTGATCCACTGAGTTTACTGTCAGGGTCACGGTGTCTGTCTGTCTCATTGAGGATCTTCCTTGCTTTCTCTGACTCTCCACCTTTCCCAGCACAATGGCTTTTCCCAAGTACTGGACTCTCCTGATAACATGCCCAGAGCATATGAGGTGAAGTTTCACCAATCTTGTCTCTAAGGAGCATCCTGGTTGCGCTACCTCCAAGACTGGTTGGCTCTTTTTGGAGTCCATGGGCTATTCAATACTCTTCTTCAACACTATGATTTAAAGATGTCAGTTCTTCTTCTGTCATACTTATTCATTGTCCAACTTTCAGATGCCCAGGAAGCAATTGAAAAGATCAGGCACACTTTGTTCTTCACATTGACATCTTTGGTCTTTAACACCTAAAAGTGATCCTTGACGGCAGGTTTCCCTACTAAAACATGTTTCTTTATTTCTTGACTGCTGCTACCATTTGTGGATCCAGGCGAAGGAAAGTAATTGACAACTTTAGTCTTTTCTCCATGTATCATTGTGCTTCCTATTATTATAGACCCAAGTTGTGGGAAATTATGTTTTCTTGATGTTGAGGAGAAACCCAGTCTTTGTCTGCATCAAGTGATTCAAGTCCTCTTCACTTTGTGTAAGCAAAGACGTTGATCTGCATAATGCAAATTGTTGATTAGTCATTCTCTAAACCTGATGCCGCAATGTTCTTTAGATAGTCCAATTTCTCGTATTATTTGCTCAGATGGTAATCAGTTGTCAATTTGCTGTACTGAACAACTTGGAATTGCTGTGATGCTGAACACCGTCCCATAGACATATCAAATACCATAATGGTTACCCTTTATGTACAGTGTTTGGATGCGCTCCCAGACTGATTCATGTTGAAAATCAGGAGTGGCATCCGCTTCCTAAACTAGATGCCTCTGAAAACTCTACAAACTCTCTTATAAATGTACAGAAATAATGTTAATTATAGAACAGAGTTCAGGTCTTTCGTGCAAAGCTTACTCTGAGTAGTATTTGACTTGACAACACTTAACCACTGCTAAATGAGACTAGTGCTGTTATATCTGGGGGAACACTCTTCCACTCTTAGTCAATGTGCTGTATGAAGTAACCTGAGTTTACTGTGATGCTAAATCGTGTGCCTTGGGGATATCAAATACTATACTGGTTTCCCACTATGGACAGTGTTTGGAGCTCCCAGTTGTAAAATAGGTTTGGAAGCAGGAGTGGCATCCACTTTCTAAACCACATGCCTCTGGAAACTCTATGAACTTGGAAAAACAATGATAGCTGTAGAAAGGCATTAGATCTTTTGTTCATAGAGTCGCTATGAGTCAACCTCGACTCAACGGCAATCAACAACAACAACACATTGAATAGGTGTGGAGAGAAGATAGTTCCCTGACACACAGTTTTCCTGATTTTAAACCATACAATGAATGTTCTCTTGTTCTATTCAAACAACTGCTTCTTGGTCTAGGTATAGCTTTCTCATGAGCAAAATGAAGTGTCCTAGGATTCTCATTCTTCTTAAAGTTATCCATAATTTGTTATTTCCCAGAGAGTCAAATGTCTTTTTATAGTCAATAAAACAATAGGAAAAACAATAAAACAATAGGAAAACAGCTTTCTGGTACTCATCTGATTTAAGCCAAGATCTGTCTGACATCAGCAATGATTCTACTCACTCCATGACTCCTGAATTCAGCTTGAAATGTTGGCAGTTCTCTGTTCATGTTTTGTTACAGCTGTTTTAAAAATAATCTTCAGCAAGATTTGACTTGCATCTGATATGAATTTTTTAAAATAATTTCCACTCTGATGGATCTCCTTTTTTTTAAAATGGAAACAAATATGGTTCTCTCCCAGTCAATTGACCTGGTAGCTGCCTTCCAAGTTTCTTAGCATAGACTAGTGAACAGATCCAGGGCATGTGTTTTCCTGAAACACCTCAATTGCTATTTCATCATTTGCTGGAGCCTTATTTTTTTCTAATGTCCTTCGTGCAGCTTGGATTTCTTCCTTCAGCGCTCTTGGTTCTTGATCATATTAAACTTCCCAAAATAAAGTAAAACATGTTGGTAAAGATTCGCCCACTGCTGATAAAGCTTAAAGCAAACTTTCAAGCCCAGTGTATTTGCCCCCATTTTCTTGTTTATTGTTATTTCTACACGCACAAGATGAAAGTCCCAGCCCTTGTGGAGCTCATGGCCTGAGTCAGAGACCATTTCTTCACACAGACTGTTCTACTAAACCTCAGATGGCTTGCGAGACTTCCATCTCCCACAGGCGTTACGTTGGTTGTATATACTTTATGATGGAAATTCCTCAGTGCCATAGACTCTCTTTAAAGTTTTTCTTTGTTTTTGCCTCTTTTGAGTATTCTTTGCCTTGCCCTTCTGGCTATTTCTGCTGAGCGCACCCCTCCACTGCCTGTTTAATCTCTCTCTCTCTCTGACAATTATTAGAGTTCCCTAATGCTATGTAAGGTGGTTTCAAAGAAAAACATGGACAAGAGGGGAAGCAGTTTCTGCAAATGAGCTGGTGATGGATGGCTCAGCCTTCTTGAGTCTTCTCTGGCATTTAAAGGACTCTGATTCCAAATGCACATCCACTTCATTCTGCTGTTGCTAATCTCCTCTTTGCCTTGATTAACAACTCAGTTCATTATGTTTTCCGTTCACATTAATCTTCTTTTCTCGGAGTTTGGTAACATTTGGAGTCATTTCCCCCTGTATTTATCCATCTGGAATGTTTAGGAAAGATAAGTTTGTAAAATGTCAGTTAATTCACAGACTTAGGAGGAATATTTTGAATTCAGCTACAGATACCCCACTCCACAAGGCCATTCAGGGACTTTCCATTGCACAGCTCTGGAAGGTTCTCAACTTGGAGCAAGATCCACAGCACCAAGGATCAGGTGGCAACGTAACAGTCCAGAAATGACAGCAAAGCTGCCCAGATCTTTGACTGTCCTCATGGAGCAGATGGGCTTGGGAGAGAGCTGTGGGGGTAGTAGAAAGAGTTGTGAGATTAATGAGTCAGAATAAAAGCTTTGGCTTCAGTCCTGTCTTTACCACCTACAAGCTGTTTGACCTTGGATAAGTCACATTTTCTTTCTGAGATAACAGTTGCCGCCTCTGGAAGCTGGTCCTAGAGATGACTGTGTGTCACATTAGAAAAAAAAAATCTACTGGTGGTGAATATGTTGGTTAGAGAACAGAGAAGTCTTTGGGACATTAGTTGATACGGGCCCTCTGAGGTCTCATACAATCTCAGGAGGTCGAAAAGGAAGTCACTCTTGGATATTCTTGGCTGTGAGTTTGTAGCGACATTTAGTTGTGAAGGCTGATGCATGTTAATCTCAATTCTTTATTTTTGTAAGATGTTTCTTTAAAGGTAATAGCTCAAATGGAACATCCATTCTAAACTCAGTACAGATATCTCTATTAACCATGAAATAATGGTCTTGTTTCTCAGTGTCATGCAAGTGTTATTCGTGCAAGAGTCTATTTGTGTTTCTATTATTATAGGAAGGGGAAAGATGTCATTAAATTGTAATGCTATAGAATCAAGATGGGGTTTGGGTTGTAGAGGGAGTCAGTAAGGACAAGAAATCTGGATTACTTGCTTTATGACTGCACAACTAGAAACGAGGCAACATTATCCGGAAATATTGTCACCTGTTGAAAGTCCTCTCCCTGAGCACCTGGGATGTGAAAAGGAGACTCCCATTACGCACGCAACTCCCAGTGGTGTTGATGGAAATTACTTGCATAACTAACCCTCCTGCCCACGTAGAATGCTAGGCGCCTGAGATTATTTTTAATTGCAACATACCTCCCGTTGCAAAAGAGCTAATTGTATCTGCTTCCCTTTTCTTTAGGTACCCAAGCAAGAAGGACAGAAACAATGAAGAGGCACGCGTGTTAGCGGCAACCTTTTGAACCACACAGGAGAGAAGGCAGCAGTGTGGCCAAGACCAGAACAATTGCAACCTTTGGTGGAGTGAATGAGGAATGGGCTTGTGATTATGCGGACATTCCAGCATGAATCTGGTAGACCTGTGGTTAACTCGTTCCCTCCCCATGTGTCTCCTCCTCCAAAGTTTTGTCCTTATGATACTGTGCTTCCATTCTGCCAGTATGTGTCCCAAGGGCTGTCTTTGTTCTTCCTCTGGGGGTTTAAATGTCACCTGCAGCAATGCAAATCTCAAGGAAATACCTAGAGATCTTCCTCCAGAAACAGTTTTATTGTACCTGGACTCCAATCAGATCACGTCCATCCCCAATGAGATTTTTAAGGACCTCCATCAACTCAAAGTTCTCAACTTGTCCAAGAATGGCATTGAGTTTATCGATGAACATGCCTTCAAAGGAGTGGCCGAAACCTTGCAGACTCTGGACTTGTCCGACAACCGGATTCAAAGCGTGCACAAAAACGCCTTCAATAACCTGAAGGCCAGGGCCAGAATTGCCAACAACCCCTGGCACTGTGACTGCACTCTCCAGCAAGTTCTGAGGAGCATGGCGTCCAATCATGAGACAGCGCACAACGTCATCTGTAAGACTTCGGTGTTGGATGAACACGCCGGGAGGCCATTCCTCAATGCTGCCAACGATGCCGACCTTTGTAACCTCCCAAAAAAAACTACCGACTACGCCATGTTGGTCACTATGTTTGGCTGGTTCACCATGGTGATCTCGTACGTGGTATATTACGTCAGGCAAAATCAGGAGGATGCGCGCAGACACCTTGAATACTTGAAATCCCTGCCAAGCAGGCAAAAGAAAGCAGATGAACCTGATGACATTAGCACTGTGGTATAATGTTCGAACGGACTGGCCTTGACAAAGAAAGTAACTTGTGATGCAGTAGAATAAGTGGTTGACTTCTTCCACTCATTGTGAACATTTAAGACTTTGTATTTTAGTTCCTTTTTGAATTTTGCCATTGTTCCACTTTAACAGGCTTTACAACCTAAGGAACCGTTTTAGTTTAGGTGATCCATCCTTTCATTGTACCCCTGGTGGTTTATTCCTGAGCAATCTACTCTCTGAACATTAGTTAGTTCCATCTACTATTTAATAATGAAATTTATTTTTTTAATTTAAAACCAAATAAAACTCAACTTTGAACCATGGAAAACAGAGTAACTTATTGGTGAAGAAAATGGTACAGTAATTGCATCTTCGTGGGGGGGGGAGAAAAAAAATTAAAACAGAGACCCTGCCCCTCATATTTTTAAAAGTTAAGCATAAACTATCATAATGAAAAATATGTTATTCAATCTTACCCTACACTGGGGAGTTACCACTGAATTATTGATCAAATAAAATATCTATCAGAATTTAAAATTCTGAGACTTTGGAAACTCAGATGATAAAACAACAAGTGTGATATTCTACAGAAGCTGAAGTTAGGATACCCTTTGCAGATTAACATCTCCAAGTAGATTCACTTAAAGAACAAATACTGTGCTTCTATTCTGTGCGAGGCACAGTGAACAATAAAAAGGCAAGGCATTTAATTTGCATTTAAGGTTTCAGTCTGGTGGAGAAACAGCTCTACTAGAAAGAAAAAAAAATTCAGAGTCATTGTCATGAAATTTAAACTAACTCTTACCCGACCATCAGCAGGATTTGAAAGCTGTTTATCCCACGGGAAGAAATTACTCATCTTTCTTCTGTGGAACCCCTGGTGGATTTGAACTGTTAGAAAGTTTTACCCTTCGAGCTGGCAGCACAACTTCCTATGGACTTGTTGTTGTTGAGTACCGTTGAGTGGAAATAGACCCATAGCTGACCCTCCAGTAGGTTTTGAGAGGCAGTTAGTTGCATGGGAGGAGATTGCCCATCCTTCTCCCGTGGAGCAGCTGATGGATTTGAACCATGTGCCTTCAGGATTGTAGTGCAGCTTCTTGCCACTCGGCCACCAGAGCACCTATGGACTATATGACTTATTAATCAGGTAGCATCAATGATATTCCAGGCACTGTGTGAAATATTTTATACTACTGTTGTCCCACTAAGCCCTCACTCACTGATGAGTCAGTGACAGAATTCTCACCTGTCATGTGAGAGACCTACGTTCAGTGCCCAACTAGCATACCTCCTGCACAGCCACCGCCTAGCTGTCAATGGGGGCTTGAGGGTTGCTATGATGCTTAACAGTTTTAGCTGAACTTCCAGACTTTTCCTAAAGTAGAGTAGGAATGGAGATTTGGTAATCCACTTCTGGAAATGAGCCGGTGGAAACCTTGTCTGATCACAGCCGATCATGCGTGTGGGGCAGGACTGGGAGCAGTTCATTCACCGTGCGTAGGATTGTGGTCCACTGGACGGTAGCTAATGACAACAAGGCCTCGTAACAGAAGGAGAAAGTGGTACCTGCTCCTTTTACACAGGAGGAAACTGAGAGTGAAAGTAGTCCAGTGAGTAACCGCTCCATTTACGCAGGAAGAAATTGAGAGTAAAAGTAGTCCAATGACTTGCCAAGTAGAAAGTAGCAGCAGGCATTTAAAAATCATTTTCTGTCTCTGAAGATAGGTGAGTTTTTTCCCCATTAAGCTTTTATTAGGTTGGTTTAGAACTCAAGTAGCCTACCGGTAAAGTGTTGCACTACCAAGCCAAAGGCACACAGTTCAAAATCCACCAGCTGCTCTGTGGGAGAAAGATGGGTGCTCTCCTTCTGTGTGATTTACAGCCTCTGAAAACCCACTGGAGCATCAGCTATGACTCAGTTCCAACTTGACAGCATCTACAACAAGGTTGGTTTATTATTTTTTTTATCATTATTTTTGCGTGAGTGTACCATCAAATCAGATCTAACTGGTACAGGAGGAGATTGTCCCTCCTTCCCCAGCAGAGCATCTGGTGGATTCGAACCGTGCGCCTCTGGGATTGTAGTTGCAGCTCCTTACCACTAGGCCACCAGAGCTCCCCTAAGGTTGGTTTATTGCATTGTAAAATTTGCATTTTTGAAGGCACCCATTTTTTAATTTTTTTCATTTTCTACTAGTTTATTTACAAAATTTGACTACAAATTTGGAACAAATTCTTTCAGTTTCCCTCACCCGCCAACCCATCAAATCGACAACCCAATGATTAATCCCAGTCCCCCTACATATCCACATCCCTCTGTTTTCAACCTCTCCTACCCCTCTTAAATCCTTATACTCATTCTACAATTTTAAGCACACAGTTTCATGAATTTTGACAAACGTGTATACCTATGTAAGTTCCGTGACAATCATAATGTGGTGTCACTTTTTGTAGTAAGAATCGTGTTTTTCCATTTTAAGATGCAATTGACTAAAAAAAAAAAAAAAAGATGCTATTGACTGAGACTTATGTGAGCTCTTACAAGACAGATTTGTAGGTGAGGAAAGAAGGAGCCAAGGGAGTTAGAGCATAAAGACATAGGTGATATTTGGTGTCTGCATCAGGGAATAGTGAGAGACAAAGCTCGAGTTGTATGGTGGGGATTTCAATTCTAGACTGAAGAGTAATAGAAACCAGGAAGTGTTCATTGAACATTTATATGACAAGTATTTCTTTGGATTGTTCTAATCAGTACTTACATCTCCTCTATGAGATGGTCTTTTATGGACAAGTTACCAGAATGACAGGAGTAGAAGTTAATTCAGAGCCTAAAATTCATGAAGGAGTTCTAGTGGCCTGGTGGTTATAAGCTGCACCATAATCAAAAGGCACATAGTTTGGATTTACCAGCAGCTTCATTGGAGAAGAATAGAGTATCTCCTCTGATGGGATTTACTGCCTCTGAACACCCACTGCAGGCTCAGCTATGGGTTGGCTCAGAACGGATGATACCCAAGCACAAAGCTCATAAGAATATAGTAA